CCCCTTGCCCAGGCTGGGCTGCCAGCGGCTCCTACTCACTATGGCAACCATCTCCATCAATCTGGTTGCCGTGGCCACCCATCCCCAAAATTACATGCTCACAGTGGGGGGGTGGGGCAGGAGGGGGCTTCTTCAGCCCAGGCTTATCTGGAAGGTGTGATGCCAGCCAGAGGCGAGCCCTGGCTTTCTCCAGCAGAAGAGTCACCGTGTCCCCCTGGTGTCTCGGGGGACAGAGGCACCCCGAACCATTTTGGGGTCCCCCCAGACCCAAGCACAGGCCGAGCCATGGATGAACAAAAGCCGGCAGCACCCACAAGTCTCTTCCCAAACGTGGAGGTCCGGGGTGGGGGGGCACCCCTGCAGGTTAACGCTGCTTGTCCCGGCTCGGGAGCTGGCCCTGGCACCCATCCATCTCACCCAGTTTTGGGGGAGACTAAGCCATCACCCCCGGGAGGAGGGAGCTGCAGGGCTGAGGGCCGGGCTGGGGATTTTCCACCCCCAGGGCCACATCCAGCCAACCTCCAGCTTCGGCACGTCCGACCCTTACCTTGGGCTCACAGCCCCCGGCCACGCCTCTTCTGGGGCCCAGCGGCAGCTTTTTAAACTTCATTACAGAAAGAGAGAGGCGGGAAGGTCCCGGGTTTTGCTGGCAGCCCCGCTTTTGCAGGACTTTGCTGATTTTCCAAAACCAAGGGGCCCCCCCCGCCCCGAGGACAGTCCTGGCCCCTGGGCTGTTGGTGTTTAATCCTCACAGGCCCCGCGTTTTCCAGATGGCTGGAGCAGGACGATGGGGATGAGCCTCCCTGGGTGGGAGAGCAGCTGCCCAGATTAACCCGCTGCCCCTGGATGAAAAGCCGGGCTTTGGCAGTCCTGTTTGACACTGGTTTCCAGCCAGCCGGGATCGGGGAGGGATCCTCTGGACTCCAGCTTGGCGGGTGCTGTGACAGCCTCGTTAGCCTGCGGCCTGATGAACCAGAGGTCGGGCAGGGCAGAGCTGCAAGTGGAGGGGCACTCCAGGGTCGTCTCCCAAACCCGGCACGTTGAGGAACCAGGCTCAGACGCAGGCTGAGGATTTACCAGCCCTTGGAGAAACATCTCCAGGAGCTGGGCCAGGCTGGGTGCCAGTCCCTGGGTATCCCCCCCGCCCCCCTGCTTCGCTGGCAGGGCTGCTGGTTGCCCTCTGCAAAGCTGCCCGGATGAGCAGAGCCATTAGAAATGGGGTGAACAGGTAAGGAGGGGACACGCTCGTGGCTCTGCGTGGCTCAGCTTGTCCCCCATGTGCCAGCCCCAGGATGTGACCGTGGCAGGAGGAGAAGACAAAGGGTCCTGCTCCCCCTGAGCCTGGGGAGATGAAGGGCATGAGTGCCCCCAGCATCCCTGTGAACCCTGAGCCACACACTCCAAAAACCATCCCCCCCCGCCCTCCAACTGCTGCCACAGCAGCCCCTGGGCACCCCGCAGCCCCCGTCTCCCTCATCGCCCCCCAGAGAAGCTCAGACTGACCGCGGGAGCCCCAAAACCCTGCTGGGACAGTGGGGTGTGTGTGTGTGTGTCCCTGAGAATATCTGAATCAAGCCACCAGTGGGGAAGTATTTTGCCAGTGGCCGCAGCCCCCAGTCCTACAGCCCCCCAGGGCCGTGGCTCCCGAAAGCCCAAGAGCCGACTGCAGCGCCGGCGCGGACAAGCCAGCACATCAGGGAAAATTTCCAGTCTTCCTCTTTTACAGTCTCTGTCTCCTGCCGCGGAGGGAGCTAACTGGAACAAATACTCTGTAGAAATACTTCAGTATTTTCCTCTCGCGCGTGCGTTCTCTCTTTTTTTCTGGGTTGTGAGTACAGCTGTAGATTCAGTGAGCTGGTTCAATTATAATAAAATATACAGTATATATTGTAAATTACTCTGCCGGGCATGGAGCGGTTTCTTCAAGGGGCGAAGCAGCACAGCGGGGTTGACCTGCTCCCTCTGTGCAGGTTTGGTCTTGTCCAGCTCCCTGCAGACCCATCCCTCTCTCCCCCCGGCCTCTGTCTCCAGGCACCCAGGGCTCGCTCTTCCCCATCGGCCACTGGCTCTGTGCAGCGCAGCGCTGGGCACCAGTTGTTTGTCTGATCCCCCAGACCATCCTGCTACGGGGTGGGGGGGGAACCCTCTGGAGAGGCCCCGCTGCTGGGGCAGAGGTGTCCCCTTGCATCCTGCAAAGTCTCTCTGCAGCCCTCTTGGCTCCCTGCAGCATCCCTGCATCCCTCTCCTTTGTCTGCAACCCTCCCATCCCTCCTTGTATCCCTGCATCCCTGCCATCCTTCTCATCCCTCCTTGTGTCCCTCCCCTGCCATCCCTCTCTGCATCCTTCCATCCCTCCCAACTCTCCCATTTCTCTGCATCCCCCCTTGCATCCCCACTTGCATCCCTCCCCTCCCTCCCTGCATCCCTTCCCGCATCCCTCCCATTTTCCCGCATCCCTCCCACCCCCTCACCTCCGCTGCTGCAGCGCCTCAGCTCCCCGCCCTCC